TGTTGAGCTGTGTGAGTGTGGTTGTTTGTTGGGGTGTTCGGCCGCTGCAGCTGTTGTGAGTGCCGCTTGTCTGGTGCTGTGCTGGGGCAGCTCTGGGAGCATCTCCTGTTGTGTCTTCTGTTGTCTTCATGAGTTGGAACCCAGCCTATACTCTGGCTGCTATGTGCTTGAGGTCCACAGTGGCGAAAAGATGCCATCTTGGGAGTGGTTGTGTTTATTTATTTATTTATTTATTTATTTATTTATTTATACAAGCACTGGGTACAGTCTGAAGCGCGGGAGGGTGAGAGAATCCACCAGAGACAGAGTGGGGAGCAGAACAGGCAGACCGACGAAATACACTGCTGAGGGGAGCAGCAGGTGTGGCAGGAGAGGTCTGCACGCCATATGGGACCCTCGCCAGCAGCCCGGGATCGAATCGGCACTGCAGAGGCTGAGGGCAGCTTCATAGCCCAGTGCTCAACCGCTGCGCCACCAGGGGAGGCCCCTAGGAGTGGTTGTGTTTAGGACATTAAACACTGGACACTGCTTCAAGTGAGGTAAACAGCCATTTTTGGTCTCAGTAACTCTTTGTTTTTCCCTGGCTAAATAAATCCCATTACTGAACCAGAGAAGTCTTGCAATTGTGTGTGCAGGTGAAGGACTCAGACGGATACAGGTAAGCTATTTGGACAGTGTCCTTGGTCAGTTTCAGTGTCCCTTGCTGCCTGATATCACAAGCAGTGACCACCTCAGGGAGGAGGGGCATGAGTTTGGGGGAGGGGGTGTGTAATGGGCAGGAATGGCATGGAGCAGGATCTTTATGATTCTGCAGATGGGGTAGAGGAGATTCCTGGAGCCCTTTTGCAGGCTTTTATTGGGATTTACCAGGTACACAGCAGGCAGGGGCGCCGGGAGGCTGGCAGGCCTCCAGGCCCCCAGCAAGCCTTCACTCTATCTGGGCTCTCCGGCCTTCTCTGGTAGTCTCTGCTTCATCTGCTCCTCACTGCTGCTCTGCTTCTCTTCTCGTGGTTCTGCTTCTGCTGGCGTCCCAGTGACGCTGCCCTTAAAAGCCCAGTCTTTTTTTTTTTTTCCACATTTAAATTTTATTTTTTATATTCCCCATACAATTACAACCCCCTTATTTTGACCCCAAGCCCTCCTTTCCCCGCCCCCCACCCCCCATAGAGTATCTCTGATTCATAGTTGTTTGTTGACTTTGATTTTTTTTTTCTTATAGTTATTCTTTTTCCTGGTCCCTTATTTAAGTTTTCCAGATTCCTGCTATGAGTGAGACCAACCGGTATTTTTCTTTTTCTTTCTGGCTTATTTCGCTGAGCATGATCCCTTCCAGCGCCATCCATGTTGCTGCAAGTTGCATGTGTTTGTCTTTTTTGAATACTGAGTAATACTCCATGGTGTATATGTACCACATCTTCTTGATCCAGTCATCTATTTTTGGGCATTTGGGTTGTTTCCAAAGCTTAGCTATTGTAAATAGTGCTGCTATAAACATAGGGGTGCAGGTGCTCTTTGGAATTGATGTTTCTGTGTCCTTTGGGTAAATACCTAGGAGTGGAACTGCTGGATCCTATGGAAGCTCTATGTTTAGTAGGTCAAGAAATCTCCACACAGCTCTCCATAGTGGTTAAACCAGTTTGCACTCCCACCAACAGTGCAGGAAAGTTCCTTTTTCTCCACAACCTCGCCAACATTTGTTGTTGCTAGTTTTTTTAATATGTGCCATTCTCACTGGTGTAAGATGGTATCTCATGGTAGTTTTGATTTGCATTTCCCTGATTATAAGTGATATTGAACATTTTTTCATATGCCTGTTGGCCATTTGCATTTCCTCTTCAGAGAAGTTTCTTTTTAGCTCTTCTGCCCATTTTTTGACTGGATTATTTTCTTTGTTGTTGTTGAGTCTCATCAGCTCTTTGTAGATTTTTGTGATCAGTCCTTTATCATTAGTGTTGTGTGCAAAAATGTTCTCCCAGTTGGTGGGGTTTCTCTTTGCTATTGTTATTGTCTCTTTTGCTGTGCAGAAGCTCTTTAATCAAATACTTGTGAATAAATCTAACAAAAAAGGTAAAGGACCTATACAAAGAAAACTATAAAACACTGTTAAAAGAAATAGAAGAAGACACAAAGAAATGGAAAGACATCCCCTGCTCATGGATTGGAAGAATAAACATTATTAAAATGGCCATCCTACCAAAAGCAATATACAGATTCAATGCTATTCCAATCAAAATTTCAATGTCATTCTTCAAAGAAATAGAACAATTATTGATGAAATTCATATGGAATCACCAAAAACCCCGAATAGCCAAAGCTCTCCTGAAAAAAAAAAAGAAGGGAATGGAGGCATCACACTCCCAGACTTCAAACTATACTGCAAAGCCATAATCATCAAAACTGCATGGTATTGGAACAAGAACAGACACACAGACCAATGGAATCAAATAGAAAATCCAGAAATAAACCCACAGATTTATGGTCAACTAATCTTTGACAAAGGAGCAAAGAAAGTTTGTTCAATAAATGGTGCTGGGAAAACTGGGTCGCTACATGCAAAAGAATGAAGCTTGACTATTACCTAACACCATGCACAAAAACCAACTCAAAATGGATTAAAGAACTAGACATAAGACCTGAAACCATAAAATACATAGAAGGAAATATAGGCGAAACACTACATGATATGCATATCAAAGACATCTTTACAGACACATCACCCAAAGCAGTGATAGTGAAGGCAAAGATAAACAGCTGGGACTACATCAAATTAAAAAGCCCAGTCTTAGCCCAGGTGAATCCCATCTACATAGGCCCACTCCCTATTCCAGGTGCTGCCATCAGGCATGCATTCAAGACCTCAGGATTCCGTCATCTATCCTAATGGTGGGAGGGCAGAAAAGCCTGATACTTTTTACCTTACCCTACAGGGTGCCAAAGAGATATAAATGTGGGGGTTGATGTCTTATTTCTCACATTCACAGCAGGGACAGGGATCAGCATTTATTTTATATTTAACTTTTGCATGCAGAAACAACTCCTTCTTTAAGAAATAACTCCATTTTCAATCACACATGGCAAAAATGTGGGCGGCTGTACCCTGATCCTTTGTGTGTGAAAAGGCAGGTAGAACAAACGGCTGGCCCCCCAGAGAGGTGCCTCCAGGTGTGACCTTTGGCACAAACAAGGCCCTGACAGCCAGGAGCCATCGCTTAGGTGCCGGGCTCTCACCTGCTGGCTCCCAAGTCTGGATGCTACACTTACCCGAGATGATCCTTCTCAAACTGCCCTTGTACTCAACAGAAATGCCCCCAAAACCAACTTATAAAAAAAAAACAAACTGCCAGGTCAGTCCCCAGCAATGTTTCCAACCCAAAATGGAGAATAAGGCTGGCTTTTGTTCCCCAGGTGACTCTAACAGGCCAGCACCAGACAGAACAGAATGCAAACCTTAGTAGTAATGCAGGAATCGAGAGGCCAAGTTGGAGCCAGGTATCCAAGGACAAGTATGACAATGCTGTGGCTGTGGCAGCCACAGGGAGTTCCAGACACAAGGCCTCAGCTCTGCTGTCCCTGTGGACAAGGCACCACCTCCAGAGAGAGGTCAGGGAGGTGGAGCCGCCCACCTGGGTGGACTTCCAGTGTCTACATGGTGTTGAACTAAACATCAAATAAACTGTATTGGAGAAATAACTATTGCAGTAAAGAGGACCGTGTTAGTTACTACGGTTTCATAAACAGGTTCCCAGACCCATGTGAGGGAAACCCACTGGGACCCCTTTGGTACTGGGTGCTCGTGATGTCTCATGTGGAGCCTGTACAAAGGAGTGGGGTGAGCACACAGGCAACACCAGGCTGGGTGAGCAGGTTAATAAACTGATGAAGAGCTCGGGGAGCAAGGCTGACATGAAGGGGGATATAAACTCTCACCCCTTCCATCATCTACGTCTATATGACCTGTTCTTTACGGCAAGCATCAAACTGCTAACGTGAACTGCCAGGTTGCAGAAGGTAGAGCTGCTCTTATTTGAAGATGGAAGTGTTATTAGCTGTGAGTGGGAAGATACTGAAAAGGAGAGACCATCGACGCAGCAAGGTTCCCAAGGAGGCAGGGCCAGGATGGGAGCTAGACGGTGGCTCCTGACTAAACGGCACGCGCTGTCCCAGTGGTCCAGGCCCCGGGGGCCAGGAAGGGAGGGCTGGACAGTGGCAATAGCAGCAGGAGGCCACGGCCAGGAGGGAGAATCATGAATGGTGTCTGCTGGTGGCACTTTGTCAGCTGCTGCTTTCATCCACTCCCCAGCCCATCGATGCCCCAGGTACCCCAGAGGGAACACCACTACTAACCCTAACCTGTCCACCTGCATGTCATTTCTTCAGGTCATCCTGGAGCCCCTTAGTCAGAGTCCCTAGAGTCCCCTTGGGCTAAGGTCACACACCTTTATGGGCCCCATGTCCACCCACACAGATGCCCAGGGCACTGGGAGATGGCACAGCATCCCGCCCTGTGGTCCCCACTGCTGCCTGACACCAGACAAATTTTGCCAGACCTCTGAGAGCCATAAGTTTGGAAGAAAGAGTAGCCCCTTAGAAGAGTCACACAGCTAAGGTTGATTATTTCACTTTATTTAGCACTCACACTCTGGGCCCTAGAGAATTGCGCCTCTAGCCTCATTTTGCCTCATTTGAGGGTCTGATGGGAAGGAACTCAGAGGGTGAACGCAAAGGCCCGGGTTTCCCACTTGGCTTTCTCTTCTGCCACACACACCACAAAGCACAGAACAACATCGCCGCTCATGTCCTCAGGTGTGCACACCCCAGTGTGCATGGGGGGGCCTCCAGTGTTCAACAGCTTCCGCGGGGCCTCAGCCAACTCCAGGCACAGACTCCCTGCTCCTGGGATGCTGGCAACGGGTGAGCGCCTCTACCCCTAGCTCTGGGGACACCGAACCCTTCCTCCCCAGCCCTGCAGCCTTCCCTGCTGGGCAAGAAGCAAAATGTACGAAAATACTTTAATTATTTCTTTGAAATGGTTAAGAAATAAGGTCATCTTGTTTTATCTTTTACAATCCCAGTAAAAAAAAAAAAGTTCACATTCATCAGGCCCGAGCCGAGCACCGGCTGCTCAGTAGAAACGCTTATTCCGCTCCTGCCGTTTCTGGAACACCACGGCCCCCACCACAGCACACACGATGATGCCCAGGAGCGCGCACAGCAGCAGCAGGAACACCCGCCAGCCCGTCAGGGGTCCGCTGCGGAAATTCCCTGTCGGGTCATCCACGTTGTCTGAGGGAGAAGAAAGGGCAGAGTGAAGAAGCCCAGTAAGAGGCATGTGGGCTCCTGGGGCCAGAGTGAGTGCCGCAGGCCAGCCAGGTGGGGTTATAGCCCACAGCCACCCTTAAGGTGGAGGCCAAGGCCCACTCACACTGTCATGGTGAGGGGCTGGGGAGGGGGCAGGAGGTGGTCCCATTGGCACCCATGGCCCCCAGGATGGAGGCCAGTGCTCCTGCTACAAGAAGCCTGAGTCTACCCAGGGGAGGCCCAGGACCTGCCTTCAAAGCCTGCCCCGCCCAGCAGTGGTCCGAGGTCCCCATCTGGAGAACTGTAGCCCTGGTAAAGGCTGCCTAGACACACACCTGGATGAATTCAGTGTCTCCTGAGGGGGTCTTTCCCAGGTCTTAAGTCCCCACAAACTGCTCACTACTCTGGCCACACCACTCCTCAGCCTACTGACAACACTGGTGACTTATGTCACACATGGTACCTCCTGTAATTGCAACCTCTGTGGGCTGTGGGTCTTGTGTGCTAAGAAAGTGACTTTCTCCAGTTCACCAGGCTGTGGGTGGAGGAGCTGGGATTTGGACTCAAGTCTATTTGCCCTTCAGAGCCCAGGCCCTGATCTGCGACAGCCCTCCACTGCACTGCGGAGCACCCTCAGGCAACTCCCTCTCAGATCACCTGAACACCAGCCACAGCCCGCCGGCGTCCTCCTTTCCCGCACACTGTGACCAGGGCAGGCCTGTCTCTATCTCTGCGAAATAAGAGCAACAGCCGCCACTGAACCAGAGTCCCAAATGGAGGCGCTCCTCATGTGCTGCTGGGCCTCTGGGTCCCACAGCGCCCTCTGTCCGCTTCTCTGCCTCAACCCCTAGACTGAGCCCTGGGGCAGTATCCAGCACACCACAAACATTGCTCTATGGTGGGATGTGTTTGGTCCCCAAAATGTTGAAAAGCAACTTGGACCTTAAAAAACTGAAATGCCCTACTGAATCTTGGACCCCTGCTCACACCCCACATAGTGGCATGGGGCTAGGCTAAACCTGCACCCCAGCTCACTTCATTCACTTGTCAGGCCTGGAGGCATGACCTGCGGGTTCTTGGGGTGGTTTTCACTTCTCCAACCAGAACGCTTGCTCTGTGAGGATGAAGTAGTGGTTAATTCGTGTCAAGGGAAAAGCCCAGGCTTTGGGTTTAACAAAAAGTCAAACCATGCCTTTACTTTTTTAGAGCTGAGGAAACCCAAGGGTTTAGCTTCCCTTGACCAGGTGGCAAGACCTACTTCCCAGGCGCTAGCTGAGACCCCACATGGGCAGTATCAGTGTCACCTACATCAACAAACTATCCGCTGTCCTAGCACCGAGCACAGGAGAAGCAGTACCCGGTGCTCACACATCTGTGCCTCAGTGCTGATGATGATCAAGAGCCCAAGCCGCAGCCACAACCGCAGATGAATCAGGGCCACTTGTCAGTCACCTGGGCCCAGGCATGTACCTTTGGGAGACTTGAGGAAATTGACACTGGGCTCAATCTTGGTCCAGTCGATGTTCTCCTCATCAGGTGTGTGCTCCACCATCAGCTGGAACAGCTTCATGGAGATGATGTCATGATTGTCTGCAAGACAGAGAATTAGCTTGCTAAGGGGCGTGGAGCTCTCCCAGGCATATGGCCCATGTCCCACCCCAGAGGCGCTGCCCAGTCATGTGAGGGGAGACCAATGCTCACACCCTTCGCCAGGCCTGTTTTATTCCCAATGACCTCTAGTCACCCTAGTGGGCACTATTCCAGAATATGACCCATGAGAGGAGGCAGCATGGAGAGAATAAAGCACAGATTTTTATATCAAAAACTCCCAGGTATAAAATTACAGGTCTGCTCTCGTCTCTGAGGCTCAGCTTCCTTGTTTGTAAAACAGGGCTAATGATCTTCATCCTGCAGTTATCAAGGCAAGTAAATGAGAAAGTCCATGTCAGACGGAAGGCACGCCACCAGGCAGACAGTATTACTTGAACATGGAAGTAGATACTGCTCCACGGCTGATTAAGCTCGAGCCTCCTCTGAGTGGGCAGCTGCAGGACAGTGCTGTCACAGAGACCCAAGCACAGGACGCAGATGAAGGCTCGGCCCCATATGCGGCCACCAACCATACCAGAGGCTTGGGAGAGGCCAGGGTCCACTGAGCAAGGGAAGGAGAGAAGCTCTGCCAGACACCCATTAATGATCCCACTTTTGAGATCGGGAGCTTAGGCTCCAGATACGGGTGTCAGTGAACCTGACCCCAGCTCTTACCTCTTTAGCTGACTAGAACCTGAGGAAAGGCTTTGTTTAAGATGGGGATGCTGGAGTCTGAAAAAGGGGGAGCCTAAAGAACTGTCAGAGCCACGCAGTGCCTGACAGCCAGTGTGCACAGCCCCTGAGCAAGGACAAGGAGGGACCTGGGTCAGACTGCAGCTCCCATCTGCACCCTTCCTGGGTAAGCCTGGAGAAGCCCCTTCAACTCTCAAACTGCCAATGGTGTCAGCTGCGTGAGGGAGAAAGGGAGAAACATCATGTAACTACCCAGCGTCAGAGGCTGCTAGTCATAGCACCATGACGCAAGCTCAGACACTCCATGCATGGCCACCCCCAGCACTCTTAACCTGGCCTCTCCAGTAGCCTCAGAGACCATCCACCTGCCACTGCACCGCTCTGCTCCCAGAACCATCTCACAACACAGGCTGAAATACTCTTAGGTAAAACTCAAAAACCAAGACCATGGTGGAGCCACATGAAACAACGAGCAACGACAAGATTATCTACATTAGCCAAATTGTGGAAACAATCCAAGTGCCCAAGGACAGAGGAGTGGGTTAGAAACTTGTGGCATATGTACACAATGGAATACTACTCAGCTAGAAAAAAAGATGAACTCTTGTCATGTGATACAAGTAGGTGGAACTGAAGGGTATAATGCTAAGGGAAATAAGTTAAAAGGGGAAAGACAAACACCACATGGTCTTAATTATATGTGGAATAGAGAAAAACAAACAAAGGATCAGATAAAACCAAGCCAATAACAAACCCTAGAAATCTGACTGCAAAACTGAGGCAACCAGAAGGGGAGGGTGACAGGCGGGATCAGGGAGGAAGGGGACCCAGTGGAATATGGTAGAGGATAACTGGGGCTTCGCCGGTGGGCACAATGTGAACCTATAAACCCCAAAACAAAAACAATGATATAAACCAACTTTATCTCAATAAACACAATCAGAAAAAAGTAAAGTTAGACGTACTGTCACAGAGAAAGATTTTCCCTCCTAGAAGTCTAGTTCTACATTTAATCAATGTGCAGTGAATCAATACATTTATTAGATTCTCTGTAAACAAAAATCACAAGAAGACACAAGTAACCTTGTGTGCCATAAATTATCAATTGCCTATAATGAAAAAAACCTCAGACTGGCAACAAGCTGGTGATTACTGAAGCGGGTAACAGGAGTGAAGGTCTTATGAGACCATCTCCCCTCTTTTGGGTATACAATGGGATTTTCATATTAAATGGGCACTCTGGTCAGGGAAGGCTTCTGGACAGTGGCTGGAGGACAGGCCCTGGAAGGCTCCAGCCTGGGTAAACAAGCCCTCTGTAGGTGCCTCCACACTGCTTCCTGGCCCAGGAAACCAGGAAAGAGGCCACCTGGGAGGTGACACCTGAGTGTAACTTGGAGGAGCTGGGGTGAGACAAGCACTGAGGGCAGGGGTGTGTCTGAGAACAGCCGGAGGCAATGTAAATTGTGGGGGTGTGAGGTGGGGACACACAGGAGGGCCTGACTGACCACTGCTGGGATGCATGGTGGCCTGGACTTAGAGGGAAGGGAGGAGTGACGAGGCCTCAGTCAGCTTTGATGGGGCGCTCTGGCTGAGCCAGGAAGGCTGTAGGGTCTGGCATGGCAGGGGAGTGCCCGGGAGGTTCCAATGAGCGCAAATGAGAGAAGATGGTGACCTCAACCAGCTGGGGAGTAGAGGAGGGACAAGCGTCCGGCCTGCTGTGCTGTGAAGACAAAGTCAGCAGGACTTGCAAGTGGGTGAGAAGATAGGACAGAGGAAAAGAGAGTGCAGGAGCCCTGGGGGCACACATGCTGACAGACACAGGATGAGGGGAAGAAAGCGGGCTGAGACTGGAACCAGATAAGGAAGTTCAAGAAAGCAAGCACATGGCAAGCTCCTGCCAGAGCAGGGGCAATCAAGAGCAAGCGGCTCAGTCCAGCACTCACCAGACAGGTCACCAGTGCCAGCCGATGCGCCAAAGTAGTAGCCGGTGGGCAGGCGCACGCCGGTGATGTCGATGCAGTTCTTCCACTCGTTTTTGTCCTCGAGGTCAGTCATCACCTGCAGCCGTCCAGCAGGTCAAAGGCGCCCCAGGCACAAGGCCACCCTCCCGCTTCCCTGAGCCCCTGCAGAGCGGTGCTCACCGTCAGGCGGCCCCGGGAGTAGCGCACAGCCAGGAAGGTGTCGTGCTCGCGGTTGCGGAAGTCAGCAGTGCAGCCCGCCAGCTCGGTCCAGCGTCCATCCTTGCTGTGGTCGTAGGACAGGGAGCCATTGTTCACCATCACCGAGATGTACGGGAACACGCGCTGAGACCAAGACACCGGTTACTCCAAGACCCGATGAGTCTGTGAAGGCAGCAGGGGCCCCCACTGCCCTGATCCCTAGAGGCCCCAACTGTGCCAGGGCCTGGGGGAAGTTCTGGGGCCCAGCCCCCAGCCCACCCTGTCCTGCTCTGAGGGCAAGAGCAGGGGCCTACCTCTGTGGTATCATCATTGGGATATGTGTCCAGAAAGATGGCTAAGCCATGGAAGTTGTCTTTGCTTCCAAACACAGGACCTGGAATTAGAAGGAGATTCTCTCGTAATGGGAGAAACTGGAGTTTTCCCACAGGAGGTCAAGTAATGCCAGTGTGGGTGGGGGCAAGAGAGCTCAATCTGCGGTCAGGAAAGAGAAGAGGTCTCCAAGGTGAGTGGTCCTAGGGGTACAACAAAGAAGACTAAAGTTTGAAGCCTGAGATGAGGGGACAGCTTGTGGCCATGAGCTGAGGTGTCAGGTGACAAGGGGGAACCCAGCCTATGAAAAGCAGGTGGATACACAGGAAGGATCCCACATTCTCAACTGGGAACTGGCAACTGCCTGTCACATGCCAGAGAGGAAAGTCTGCAGACTTTGCAGATCACACAGCCTTCCTTGTTTTTGCTTTTAAAAAATAACTTTTTAAAATAGCAGAATGATACAATACATTCATACAAGACCAGGCCACACTGAGGTACAGAGTTGAGCTGTGGGATCCAACTGCTCTTCTGCCTGAAGGGACATTCCTCCCACCCGCAGACCCCGAGGTCCCAGGTTACTGGAAGAGAAGCAGCAACACCCTAATGGAAGGTGCAGGGGTTGGAAGGTCCCTGAACACAGACACTACCACCCATGGGAGCACCGTACTACCTGGCACCAGGCGGTCCCGGGTATACCACAAGGCGATGCCGTCTCCATGGAGATTCTTTTTTCCTACGCCATGGACTTTGAAGTGGACGTGCATCTCCCAGTCCTTGAGGAAGCAGGGCTGGAAGGAGAGCAAAAGGGGGCTGCTCAGAACCCCTGGGGCCTTCCCAGGAGGTGACCCAGCACAGGGCATCTTCCCCACTGAGACAGAGCACTTGGAAAGGACTAGGAGGCAGTGTCACATATGCCATCAAACCAACAGACTCCTCCAGCATTCTTGGCAGGAAGGAAGGGGGCTTCTGGGTCTCACAGGTAAGGTGGAGAGGCCATACAGGATCCCCAGGGGCCTGAGGTCCAGAATCTGCCCAAGTGACTCTAGCCTTCTCTAGTATAATTCACTTTCCTCTCCCTCCACCCTGCTCCTGTTCTGGTCCTGGGGTCTGTGGAAGGATGACTACCCTTGCTTGAACAGGGGTATTTTATAAAAAATAAAACACATTCACAGACAAAAGAACTTGTCCACAACAGTAAGTGGATGGCCCAGGTCTGTCTGACTTGGAAACTTCTGCTCAGCCTTCTCCACCTTCAAGCCTTTCACACAAATAGCACCAAATCCCCGCTGGTCTCCCAGTCCCACTGTCTGCCCTTTAAACCAACCTTCAAAACTAAGGGACTTGAATCCACATCTGGCTGACTCCAAACCCTAGGACCACCTGCCTCCCTCGCAGTCTCAGTCTGGCCTCAGAATGGTGGTGACGCTGGGGCCACAGGTGTCGGGGCCGTGCTCTGGGCCTTTGGGCCACCGTGATGTGAGAGAAGACACAGGCTTCCCAGCAGCCATGAACACATGAACACAGGATGCGGATCTGAGCACTGCCCACAGCCAGGAAAAGCCTGGTCTTAACCATCAGGAAGTTGTTCATGAAAACTAAGGTGTTGACACATACTCTGACAAGAATTCACTTAGGGGAAGTCTGTAGCTGGGTGTGTGAGCAAGTGACGAAACAAAGGCCCAGCAGAAGGGCAAACTAAAACCAGGTATTGTTGACCTACCAGCTTGGCAACTATGGAAAAGATCATTAATATCAACGTGGACAAGGATGGAGAGCCACACACACCCTCACACCACCAGAGGATGGGGAATGCATCTGTGCTCGTGGGGGCAACCTGGCCATCGCAGCTTTTTAACAGAACTGGGCAGGTCTCGTTCTGCACTTAAAGGTATCAAAAATTCTAGGAGAGGAAATGAAGTTGCAAAATAGCACCAGTGTGCCTCCTTACTTTTGAAAAAAAGTGATCAGTACATGTGTAAAGAGAGGAAAAAATGAAAGGAACATGAGTCAACATTAACGATGGGTGACTTTGGGAGGGGAACTAATTATGGAGAACGTTTACTTTCTATTTTTGATCTTCATATAATGAATATATCCCTTCTGTAATCAAAAACACACAAACTGAGAATGAAGACTTTATGTTCCATTATGGGTGATCTGGTTTGTGCATTCCTTGGTCCATCATCATTGCTCCAGCTCCTGGCACCAGGAACACAGGCCATGAGCCCCAGCCCTGGAGCACACATGGAGCTAGCAGGGACCTGCATGACAGCTTGCAAAGTATGACAGCTCAGCCTTCTCAGTTCTTGACAGTTCACTGGCTCTAGGAGAAACTGCAGATTGAGCTTCTGAGAGAGGGGTAATGGAGAGAATAAACTTTCAAGGACAGACAGATAAGGAACCCTGAGTCCAAACCCTGCTGAGGGGGTGGAAGGCCTGGTGAACCAACCATGCTTTGGGCTGAGACCCCAAGATCACAACCCAAAAGCAAGCAGGGAAAAGAAAAGTCCTTCTAGGGATTGTGGCTCAACTTTGAGTCTTCCATCACTGGAACTGGATTGAAGGACTCACCTAGACCTTAACTTTTACTACATTTTACAAATACATTATCTGGCATACAATAAAAAAACAAAAGCAAATGCAAACAAACAAAAAAATCAGGCATGTGAAAAGACAAGATATGAATAAAACCAAGGTAAGGAAGAAAGGAAAGAAGAGAGTAAAAGAGGGAATAGGTCATCAGAAACTCCAGATATTATCCAAGGAGATATGAGACAGGACTGAGAATTTTGATAGAAAACTAATTTTTTTTTTTAAATCACACTACAAAAAAAATTCTAGAACCAAAAAGTGAAATAGCTGAAAGTAACCATATTAATGGATAGGTTTAACAACAGATTAAAAATAGATGAGGACAGGTTTAGTGAAATCAAAGTCAGTCAGGAAATAAAAATACCCAGAATAAAGCAGAAAGAACAAATGAATGACAAATACAAAACTGTGGATAAAGAGACAGAGGAAAGAGTGAGAAAGTCTAAAATAGGAATAACTGGTGTTTCAGAATGTGAAATGAGAGAAAAAGGTGAAGAAATATTTAAAGAGAAGGCCAAACACTAAAATTGATTCAAAGACATTATGCGACAAATGTCAAGTCCTACAAACCAAAGGAAAAGACTGAAAAGGAAACTGATCAATACCTTTGTTCATTAAAGAGAGAGGAAGGGAAAAAGGAAGGGAAAAAGAAAAATAGACATTCAAAAAGTAAGCAGACACAGGGGTGGAAAAAGACAGATTACCTTCAAAGGAGCAACAATTAGCCTGATACCTTCCTGACAGAAACATTAAGAGCAAGAAGACAACAGATGAATATGTTGTTGAAAGAAAACAACAGCCAACATAGAATTCTATACTGTGCAAATGTATCCATCACGAATGAAGGTGAAATTAAGACAATTTCAAACAAAAAACTTCAAACTGTCTTTGAGTCTTCAAGGAGAAGAAAAATGACCCAGATCCAAATGTAAAGTCAAAGAACTCAAAAGGAATGAAGAGCAATAGACATGGTAAATATGAAGGTTTGCAAAAATCTAAATAAATAAATACTACCGCATAAAACAATAATGTTTTGTGTGACTTAAATTGGAAAAGTTAAAATAAATGACATGGGGGTAAATGGGATGAATGTGTCCTTGTGTTGTCCAGGAAGAAAAGTAGACAGTGTTAAGACTTTTTGGTAAAACATAATGCATTTTTAAACCTTCAGAGTAATCACTAAATAACTGGGAAATAGGCACATAACTTTCATGCTAATAGAAGAGGAAAGATGGAATAAAAATGAACCAACCAAAAGAAGACTGGAGAGAAAAAAGAACAGAAGACAGTACAAACAGAAATTCAACAGTAAGATGCACCAGAAATTTACTAAATGCAATGGGTAAAATGTTGGGTAACAAAAGAAAACCTAAGGGTAGAAAGGATCTCTCTGTTTTCTTTCTTACAACTGCATTCAAATCCCCAATTATCTGAAAATAAATTTAATCTAAAAAGTAAAGCATTGAAGACTTAAAACTCTTAGAATAGAAAATCTTCACAACATTAGACTTAGATTTCTTGGATATGACAGCAAAGTACACACAAAAACAAATAGATAAATCTAGACAGATTTTTTTCCTTTGCTGAGGTAAAGTTGTAGGGAGAATTAAATTAGAATTGTATGTAAAAAGTTTTCCATCCAGGAGTTTTTCTGTTTGTCGGAGGGTGTGAGTATGTTCTAAACAAACCCATGAAGTCATTCCTGCAGCACATGCTTTTAACTATTTGACTGAGGACTAAACATCCCTTTGTGAGCTTAGGGTATAAACTTGCGATGTTGAGGCCTCCCTGGTGGTGCAAGGGGTTAAGCACCACACTATGAAGCGATCCACAGCCTCTGCAGCACGAGTTCAATCCCCGGCCAGCCAGGGAGCAACCCATATGGTGAGGCAGACCTCTCCTAATTCGCCTGCTGTTCCCCTCAGCAGTGTATTTCGGTCAGTCTGCCTGTTCTGTTCCCCACTCTATCTCTGGTGGGTCCTCTCACCCCCCTACATCTCTGACCTGTGCCCCAGCTTTTGTATGTATAAATAAATAAATCTTAAAAAAAAAAACAAAAAAAAACTTCCGATGTTACTATATTTTATATCTCCCAGAGCTATTTCAGCAATAGTATTTAAAAGGCCACCAGAGAGGCCCAAAACACTGGTCTTATAAATAAAGTCTGCCCTGTGGTTAATGAGCCAAAAAAAAAAAGAAAATTTTTGCACCTCAGAGAATATCAGCATGAAAGACAACCCAAGAATATTTCCGGGCCTCCCCAGTGGTGCGGCAGTTGAGCTCTGGGTTGCAAAGCTGCCCGCAGTCTCTGCAGCGCCAGTTCAATCCCCGGCCGCCGGGTGAAGGTCCCACATGGTGCGTAGACCTCTCCAGCTGCCCGCTGCTCCCCTCAGCAGTGTACTTTGTCAGTCTACCTGCTCTGCTCTCCGCTCTGGCTCTGGTGAATTCTCTCACCCTCCCGTGCTTCTGACTGTACCCAGTGCTTGTATAAATAAATCTTAAAAAAAAAAAAGAATATTTCCAAATCACGTATATGATAAGGGACTAATATCCAGAATACAGTGAATCCTCACTTAATATCTTGATTAAGTTCTTAGAAACTTCAACTTGAGTGAAAAACAGGTCCTAGAATAACTTTGCTTCAATTTGTTGGCTGAGATTTTTTTCTCTCTCATCAATGTCATAACAAAAAAACTTTGATGGGATTTGAGGACCTGCTGAATATAGGGAGTCCCTAAAACTCAACAACATAAAACCCAACTCAAAAGTGGGCAAAGGACTTAAAAAGACATTTCTCAAAAAAAGATAAACAAATGGTCAATAACACATGGGAAGATACTCAGCATCATTAGTCATCAGGGAAATGCAAACCAAAACCACATTGAGATATCATTTGATACCACTAGGTTGGCTGTTACAAAAAACCAAAAAAAAAAAAAAAAAAAAACCCAAAACCCAAGAGAAGAGAAAAAAACAGAAAATAACAAGTATGGGTAAGGATATAGAATAATATTGGGTGTATAAAATGGTGTAGTCACTGCATAAACAGTTTAGTGGTCCTCAAAAAGTTAAAAATAAAATAATCATACCCAGAAATTCCACTTTCTAGGCACATACCCAAGAAGTAAAAGCAGGGACACAGACACGCATGTATCGCTATGTTCACAGCAGCATTACACAAGCCAAAAGATAGAGA